GAGCTACATCCCCAGCCCATGCCCTGTTTCAACAAAACAAAACAAAATGGGCTGAGGATGTAACTCAGTGACAGAGTGCTTGCCTAGCAAGCACAAGGCCTTGGGTTCTACCCCTTACACTGGGGAAAAAAAAAAAAAAAAAAAAAATATATATATATATAATATATAAAAGAATAAAAATAATACTGATTAAAAGCAATACAGCCTAGCAAGTATTTCCAGAGCATTTGGTGTTTTAAGTATTCAGAGATGATTGAAGGTACACGAGAGGAGATATGAGGCCATATGCAAACGTGATACCATTTTAGGAGGGGACTTGAGGGTCGTACAGGATTTTGGAATCTGAGGGGCCCCCTCCTCTATGGTATCGGGGGACTGTTTTGGACACCTGCTATGTGCAGGACTCTGAGCTAAGGTCTCCGTGTGACTTCATCCCCTCCCTTGTCCCCAGAACAGCCCCGTCGGGCATGCTGTTATGCTCTGAATTCACAAATCAGGAGACTAAGTTCAGAGAGGGTATGGACGCAGCAGTTTGGCTGCAGGACCTGCTCCTGTCCAGCCCCCCCATCCCAGGCAGGGAAAACGAGGCCAAGAGAGCGGCAGTGACTCCCTGGAGTCCAGTAACAAAAGACGGGCCGAGTAAGGATTTGAACCCAGAACTCTTTGTCCACAGCCTGGGCTCTCACTCTCAAGAAGGGTCCTGTCTCGGGTGGGGCAGCTTGGCCACAGCCCTGCCCGAGTGTTGCTTCCTCCACTGTACCTGAGGCGGTACTAGGCCACCCTCCAGGGGGTGCCCGACATGGCTCAAGTCCAGAACCTGGCACCTGGTTGGCTGCTCAACTCATGGCATCTATGGCAACCCCAGTAGCTGCCTCCCTCCCCGGAGAACACCAGCGAGCCCATTACTCACCGCCTTCCAGCGGGGCGCCAGCTCACCTCACCGCCTCCTCTGAGTCAAGGGGCGAAGGGACGGGCTGCTGCGGAGTGGAACACTGCGTGTGGAAGCATAGCGCCCCTGGGGCGCGCACCAGATTTCCGGGCTCTGGGCCATTGTAAGCTCGGCTCCTTCTGCCCCGACTGCCCTTCCCACTGTTGTTCCTCCTCACCTGTACTTTTTGATGCCTGTGGGCAGAGCTGAGAGTTTCTTCCTCTTCTGCCTGCAAATAACTTACTCAAAGCAGCAAGGGAACGCCCGCTTTCTCAGGGCAGATTCATGTGGGTTCAAGGCACTCAGGGTTGGGCACAGATTGGGCAGACAGCTGTGCTGGCCTCAGGGAGCGGCACAAACAGGACCCCTCTAGCTTCACAGCACTGGCTGTGGAACCTGGACAAACCTGTCTGGTCGTCTGACCAATGGAGTGACAGGAGGACCTGGGGGTGGTGGTTAGGAAGACTCAGATGCTAACCCTGGAAATTCACACACACACCTGCTGTTGAGTGCCACCTCTGTCCTGACCACATGCCATACAGCCGACCCTCTCAGCAGACACAACCCTCACTGTCTCCCCTGAGGCTCGGGCTGGGATTTGAACCTGGTCCGGGTGACCCCGCGGCCGCAGCAGGCCGCAGCAGGGAAGGCACGCAAGCCTGGGGGTGACTCAGAGCCGGAGGCCCGCCCTTTCCCGATGACTCAGCCTGGATGGGTCCCTGGGCTTTCTCTGGAATCCTGGGCCCCAGGCAGCCTGCCCAGGCAGCCGCCTCCTCCGCCACACCCTCCTTGGAGAAGGTGGTGGCTTCAGCTCCGGCCTCGGCTGCCCCTGTGGGGTCCCCGCTTCTCTCAAGTGAAGGGCTGGCTGGGATGGGAATCTCCCTCCAACCACCGTGGGGCGCAGAGAGGCCACAGAGGTGCCGAGAGGTGGCCGGGGTGGCCCAGATTCAGGGAGGGATGGAGGAAGAAGCCTAGAGTCCATTGTCGGGGGAGCCTGCCTCAGCCCACACCCGAGCCCCGGCCTCAGGCCCCATGCCCAAGGCGAAGTGAGGGCATGGATGTCTGCAACTGGTGTGCATTCAGTGAGGACCAGGCACCCTTTCTACTCTTTCCAGGCAGGCCGCTGGGGTGGGGGAGGCGGGGAAGGGGAGGTGGGCAGAGGGCCACCCTCTGTCTGGTCTTTCTGAAAGTCCCCAGCTCTCAGGATGCTGAAGCGTGGCTTCCCATGGCATTCCTATGTCTCCTTCCACCGCAGTTTCCCCAGTATCTATGTAAAGACCCTTCCAGCTGGAGTTTCCGTGACTGGGCACCGAGACCTCCCTGAAGTCCTCTCCCCACCTCCCTCTTAGAGCAGGTCCTGTTAGGGTGGCCTCTGTGTGGAGGGACCCTGGGCGGCGGGTGGAGAAGGGACACACACACTGCGTGAACTCAGTCGAGGGTGTGCGTATAGTGGCTGCCTGTGCTTGCGCTCTGCCCAGTCTGGGTCCGCATGCCACTGTCCTGATGAACAGCCACCGTGTGCCAGGCTCTATGCTGGCATCCATCTGGCCCAGGCCCTGCTCGTGGTGACAAGATGGCCACACAGGGTGGGATCACTGGGCCGGTGGAGGACAGCCCAGGCTCGCCAAGGACCGCACCGCACAGAGTGTATTATAATCAGAAGGTGCAGGGCCAGGGGACCGATCCCCTGAAAATATACGTAGTTAAAGGAGAGAAATTAATAGGTAGTCAGAGAGGGGTCGGGTCCTCAGGGGAGTCCATGCAGAAGATGAGACACCAAAACTGTGGCTAGGAGGGAAATCTAAAGAGAGTCAGGCCTTGGGATCGAAACACAATGGCCAGGCCTGCAGGGTTCCCTAACAATAACAGCAACTTGAGATTGTACTGCAATCAGCACCCAGATAGGCATCAGACACCCAAGTGGGTGACTGGAACATCCGACCCACGCTCCCATTCCTGTTCCAAAAATGCCTTTGTTCTTTCTTCCTACAAGCTGTAGATAAGCTAAGGTTAGGGATGCTCACTGATACACCTTGCTACGCCTCGCTTCCCCACTGGGTCAATATTAGCTCGGTGACTGGACTTGTCCCGCTGTAGGTTGACTATTTGACCGCTAGCTACCTACGTTGTACCCCCCTTATGATTTTGCTGTATAAAATGTCCTCGGACAAAGCCGGGTGTGGTGGTGCACACCTGTAATCCCAGCACTCGGGAGGCTGAGGCAGGAGGATCCTTGCGAGTTCGAGACCAGCCTGGTTCACTTTGGGCTACAAAGTGAGCTCAAGGGCAGCCTGAACTGCATATTGACACCCTGTCTCAAAAAGACCAAAAAAAAAAATTGTCTTTGGATAAACAGCCTCAGGGTCACCCACTTTGGGGATCCCTCTGGTCTTTTAAGAGCTTTCTTCAATCAAGCTTTCCTTTTTTTTTTTTTTGGTGATACTAGGAATCAAACTCGGGACCTTGGGCTTGCCAGGCAGGCACTGTGCCACTGAGCTACATCCTCCACTCAACCTATCCTACTCTTAAGCTCCTCTGTCCTCAGATCTGTTCTTTGGTATTGGGAGATGTGAACTTGCATATTTGACATCTAACAGATTGAGCGTTCTCTTCCTCGTGACAAAGGATTGCATGGGTTCCCCTGCTTCTCTGGCCCTGTGCTGGTGTGGACAGGACAGTAATGACACCAGGGGGTGACCAGCGAGGCCGTGGCTCTGCCCCCACGCATGCTTCTCCAGCCTCCCATCCGCTGCTACTCCTGGGGATGTCCCGGCATAGTTTCCCAGTGGAAGAGGACGGGACCAGAACATGGCAGCCCCAGGGGATGCTGGGAGCAGAGAAAGTAGCACAGTGGCTTGAGGGGTACAAGGAACTCCCTGCCTATAGGCTCCTTTCCCAAGGAAGGTGACATTTTACTGGAGACCAAAAAAGTTCAAAGGACATCCTTCCCACACGCTGAGGGACAAGCAGAGAACATGCTGGGAGAAGGCTCTGAGGCGGAAAGAGCTGGCGTGTTCCAGAACCCCAGTGAGGCGGAGGAGGAGCGGGAGCCGTGGGATGAGGGGGTGGGGCAGCGGTCAGGCCTGGGGCAGTTTGTAGTTTGTTTCAGTTTGGTGGGAAACCTTCAGGAATTTTTAAATTTGAGAGAAACCTGTTTGGTTTTTAAGATAATCTTTCAGCCAGATGCAGTGGTGTGTGTGCCTGCAGTCACAGCTACTTGGGAGGCTGAGGCAGGAGGATGGCTTGGGGCCAGGAACTGGAGGACAGCCTGAGACAACATATGGAGAGATTCTGTTTTAAAAATCAAAACAAGCCGGGCGTGGGGGCGCATGCATGTAATCTCAGCACTTGGGAGGCTGAGGCAGGAGGATCGTTGTGAGTTCAAGACCAGCTTGGGCTACAAAGTGA